ATGTCCCAATCACTCCCAACATATGGCGACTGGACTCGTTTCTTCTTACGGACGCATCCATGACTCTCCAAATTCGTGAGTGTCTGATCAACTATTTTCGGGAAAATATATCTCCAAAAATTACCCCACTCACCCAATGGGAAGCACACAAATGCGTGACACGTGGGCTTCTACTTACAATTGCTGCTTCTCGAAAACGCGCAGCTCAAGCGTCTTCACTCTCTACTCCAGTACGTCAACTAGAGTGTTCCCATAAATGTAAACAGGCTTTGACACTTACTGCTGAACTAACAGCTGCACGTAAACAACTACTGGAAGCTGTGGAAAGGAAAACCAAACTGTTCTACATATATGGGAACAAAAGTGGTAAAATATTTAGCTAGGGCCTGCAAGTGAAAAAAGCAGCTCGCACTATTCATCAAATCCATACTCAGCAAGGTCGAATACTTAAAACATTCCTGAATATAGCTGCAGAATTTGAAAACTACTATACGACCCTTTATAATCTTCCTCAAGCCCCAAAACCTGCAGGGGATAATAGATCACGCACGGACATTATCCAGGCATTTCTATCGAAATATCTTCCTAAACCTATCTCACGATCGAAAACAGGTGAACTAGATGGGGTGCTGACACTTTTAGAACTCCAAAAAGCCATTGCACAATTAAAACCGGGCAAGAGCCCAGGCCCTGACGGATTTACGACCACTTATTACAAATCTTTTATGGAAATTCTTGCGTAGCCATTCCTTAACGCATTCAACTCACTAGACACCCCAGGACAGCCCATGAGATTCCTTTCTGAAGCCTATATCACACTCATACCAAAAGAAGGCAAGGAAACGACATCAACGGCCAACTTTCGCCCAATTTCCCTTCTGAACATTTAAAAATATTTGCTAAAATACTAGCGAACCGTCTATTAAGCATCACTGAACCCTCCATATCCAGTGATCAGGTGGGGTTTGGGCCAGGTAGTGAGGCAAGGGATAACACAATAGCCCTAAATATACATCACTGGTTGACACAAACTAATCAACATGGCTTTTTTCTCTCTCTCGACGCAGAGAAGGCTTTCAACAGGTTGGCCTGGGACTATATGGAGGCGGTTCTGCTTGGACTTGGCCTTCCCCCGTGCCTCATGAACTTTATCATGTCGCTGTATACCCCACCAACAGCCAAAGTTAGAGTCAATGGTCTCCTGTCGGAAGCCTTCTCTACCAGTAATGGGACTAGACAGGGGTGTCCGTTATCTCCGCTATTTGTCCTCACACTGGAACCCTTCTCGAATCGCATTCAAATGGACAATATCAGAGAAATTATGGTTAAGGGCAGAATACACAAAATAGCGGCATTCGCCGATGATATACTATCTTCCTAACAGAACCACACATCACCCTCCCCAATCTACTTCAAGACTTTAAAATGTTTCAGTACATATCCAACTTCAAAATTAATTTCAATAAATCCCAGGCCCTCAATGTCACCCTACCCCCTGACTTGGTCAGGCAGGCACGGACAAACTTCCCCTTCACCTGGCAATCCGAGGCCATCTCTTACCTGGGGATTCAGCTGCCCACCCGTCTTTCAGATCTATATACAAGAAACTTCTTACCTATCATATGTAGCATTACTAAAGACTTACAGAATTGGAATAAACCAATTGTCTCCTAGTTCAGAAGGGCAGAGATCCTCAAGATGAATGTGCTTCCCTGGCTACTGTACCTGATGCAAACGATCCCAATAGGACTTCCTAAGTCAGTCATTCTTTAGATCATATAAGACACTATGCAGCTTCTTCTTATGATGCAAAAAATGTCTTAGAATCAGCTTTGAACAACTTACAATGCCTATGTCTGGAGGAGGTATCGGATTGCCAGACATTACTCGCTACTATTGGGCTTGCCACCTGGAAAGAATTGTGGACTGGTCTACAAACCATGTACGTAAGGCCTGGGTGAATCTGGAAGCAGAGTTTTCAGCGATCCCACTAGCCACATCCCCGTGGCTGAGTAAATCACATATCCCATCCACTTTCAAAGAACACCCGCTAATCGCTCCGACACGGTCTTGTTACCACTTGTTGTGTCAGAAATCGGGCCTTTCCTCAATGCCTGGTCCACTCACGCCCATTCGTATGAACCCTGATTTTCCCCCCGGAATGTTGAATGCATTCCTCGCTGGGGCCTCACCCCAAAAATACCCAAGACTACACCATCTTTTCAAGGATGGCGTCTTTTTGACAAGAGAACGCCTCCAGAACCAATGCCCAACTCTAAACATGACTCCATGGATAGGCAACTCCATCATTTCATACATAACCCGCCACATCCAAGAGAGCTTGTGGACCCCTTACCCCATGTGAAAAAATCTACTCCACGGATTCCTCACAGAGACATATGGTCTCCAAGCTATATGCATGCCTGGAAAACACAAACGAAGTTACGTCCAGAAAGGCCTGCGTAGCTTGGAGCAATGACCTACAACTAAACCTGACCCCTGCTGATAGGGACCATGTATATGGCCATATACACAAAGGTTCCATATGTGTTTCAACCCAAGAAAATAATGACAAACTATACTCTAGATGGTATATAGAGTTCCTTCTCTGCTCCATAGATTTGATCCTAGCATCCCTGACTCTTGTTGGAGATGCGGCCAAGTGACTGGTACACTTTTACATATATGGTGGGACTGCCCAATGCTCCAACCCTTCTGGGGGATAATACAATCAATAATTGCTCAAGTAACAATCTACTTCCTAGATATATCTCCTGAGCAATTCTTACTTCACCACTCCTTGCTCCCATATAAATCATACTGCAAATCGCTCGCTATGGATATGGTGAATGCTGCAAAACAGTGTATTCCAGTCCACTGGCACTCAACACATACCCCCTCTGTCCGGGAATGGTTTGCACGTATAAACAAAATTGCCGATATGGAAGAGCTCATCTTTGTTGCAAAAGATTGCCCTGAGAGATTCAGGAAGACATGGGCATGTTGGAGTCATTTCAAAACCACAGCCACTTATCAACTACTGCATGACTCCACCTCTTCCCCCACTTGAACACTACTTAACTACCAATAGGAAAACATTCTTTTCTTCATACGTCACACATGTAACGCACACCTTGCCTGAGATCGAAAATTACAAGCTAAATATTGCAGAAAAGGACCTATATATGAGACTGCTATGCATGCCTACCTAGACTGCCATATAGGACCTCTGACTACTACTCGGATTATTTTGCACTGTTTGACCCGAAGCAGTTGCAGCTGCTTCCCTTTCCTACCCCTACCTCCCCCAACTCCCCCCCCCCCCCCCCCCCCCCCCTCCCCCGCTCCCCACTCTCTTTTTTTTTCTCTCTCTCTCTCCTCCCCCCCCCCTATCTCTCTCCTTCTGTTCTTCCGTCTCTCTTCCCCCCGCTCCATCCTACATTCTCAAATTTACTTAAGATGAACTTAGAATATCAGTAGACCCACAGGTACAACTTCAGCTTCTCAGCCTCTGCCCCCAGTTTTTCTTTTTCTCTCGTGTATATTTCTTCAACTTCAAAGCTATGTTAATTGATGACAGTAAATGCCGTATCCCTGATGGGGTTTACATCTGAAGCACATTTAGTAAGTTGTATACATGAACCGATTGTAACCTATATATGTTACCTCTGTGCCTTATTTCTCAATAAAAATTATTTTGGGGGGAAAAAAAAAAAAAAAAAAAAAAAAAGATATGGTGCTGTGTTCAGATGAGACCAAAATTGAGCTCTTTGGCATTAACTCGAATCACCGTGTTTGGAGGAAGAAAATGCTGACTATGACCCTAAGAACACCATCCCTACAGTCAAGCATTGGGGTGGAAACATTATGTTTTGGGGCTGTTACTCTGCTAAAGCCACAGACCAGCTTTGCCACATTGAGGGGCCAATGGATGGGTCATGTATTGTAAAATCTTGGATGGGAACCTTCTTCCTTCAGCCAGAACACTGAAGATGGGTAGTGGAAGGGTATTCCAGCATGATGACCCAAAACAGACGACCAAGGCAACAAAGGAGTGGCTCAAGACGAAGAATTTTAAAGGTCATAGAGTGGCCTAGCCAGTCTCCAGGCCTTAATCCTATAGAAAATTTATGGAGGAAGCTGAAACTGAGTTGCCAAGTGACAGCCAAGAAACCTTAAGGATTTAGAGAAGATCTGTAAAGAAGAACGGATAAAATCCCTCCTGAGATGTGTGCAAACCTGGTAACCAACTACAAGAAACTTCTTACCTCTGTGTTTGCCAACAAGGGTTTCTACACCAAGTACTAAGTCATGTTTTGCTTGGGGATCAAATACTTATTCTACTCACTGAACTGCAACTCAATTTATAAAACATTTGAAGCTTGATTTTTCAGGATTTTTGGTTGATATTCCGTCTCTATCATTTAAAATACACCTACAATAAAAATTATAGACCCTTCATTTCTTTGTAAGTAGGCAAACTTACAAAATCTGCAGGGGAGCAAATAATTATTTCTCACATTGTATGTCTTTTCTGCACTGGGAATATTACATATCACAGCAAGTCGCAGCAGCAGCAAAAATTCAGCTTCCCTAAAGAACACTTATACCCCCAATCTTTCATACTGCCACTGGTGGCATAGACTCTGCTTTTGTGGTCCAAGGAAAGCCACAAAATTGACCTCCTCCTCCGGTCACATGACGCTGTCCTCCCTCTGCAAGTGTTCACTACCGTGGTATGCAAAGACCATGACGCAGTCATGTTTATAAGAAAAATGCAGATACGGCGTCAAGGGTTTAAAACAATGTCCTGCAGTTTGCAGAGAGAAAAAAAACACTGATAGATATAAATATGTTTTTCTTTTCTGCACACTTTTAGATGAACACATTTAAAGTTAAAAAATGACAACAGTGTGTAAGTGTCCTAATAAAAAAAATGTAAATAATAATACGATAAAGCATAATCATAAATTACCATGGTCACTCCATCTATCTCTCACCTGCATTGGAGACTTGGTTTTACCCAGCTGCTCCTGAAGTTGCTGTATGTGTTTCTTGGTGTCCTGGATCTCCTTGTAAAGCCGTGTGGATGGGGAGTTGTTGTACTCCTCTTGGGAAGACTATAGATCACAAGTGTAGACAAAACAGATAAACACAAATCTCACTTTTTCAAACAGAAGAGCTCCTTTTAAAAAAAACAAAACAAAAAAACCCCAAAACAAACAAACAAAAAAAAAACAACACACAGTGCCCTGTTTAATCAAAGTAGGAAAGCACAGAAATCAAGAAAACACCAAAAAAAAAACTACTCGTGTAGGATCTACTGTCCTGCATTATGCACACTGGCTGCTCCGCTCCAGGAATGTTCTCAGATTTATAAAAGTATAACATAGCTAAAATCCATATTTACTGCATGAGCATGTCAGGTACGATACACAGGGCAATATTTTTCTATAAAAAGTTCTATAAAAGCATAATTAAAAGTGTACAACAATATTCTAAGGCCTTGTTCACATGAGCTTCAGCTTGTATAAGAGCAGTGTGCACAGCAAGCTTTTGAAGAGCACAGATCCATTCAGTTCCAGTTTAGGAATTATAAACACAGATCTTAATAGGAGTACTGTGACATTTTAATCAAGCTGCTAGCAGGCATCAATCAGCTTCAGCACCACTTGAAATTTGTTGAAGGCCTAATAGCTGCTTGTATAAAAGTAACAGCACTCCCATTGAGTCTGACAATTGCTTGCTGTACACACTTATACAAGCTGAAGCCCATGTGAACAATGCCTGAAAGTGTACCTGTGCTTTGCGAATGCAGGTCAAAGCAACAGGTTCACTTTAGTCTGCCCTTCCATAGTAGTACATACTCCAGTTTACTTCACTTCACTATGGTTCAGCCAAGGAGAGTGAGGAAAATGAGTGAGTGGTGGCTGCCCTAGCATAATCACATGGATTAGAATGGCCGGATGTACTTTGTAAATTGTAACTAAACTGACTTGGGGCTTACACAGGGCTCACTGTCTTCTTGAGCCTATGTGACAGTACTGGGCCAATCATCAGGATCCAGGGTTGTCATATGAGAGGAAAGGGAGTGAATCACATTCCTCAAGTACTGGATAATTTCTCTATGGTTTCAACTGAAAAAAGTGAAGGAAAGGCGAGTATGTACTCCTGGGAAGGGTAACATTAAAAAAGAAACTGGTTGTTTTGTCTGCAAGGACAAAGCATGTCTATATATTAATGTCTATACTGACCTGTAACTGTTCTTTTTCCTGTTGTAACATTTTCTTTAGTATCACTAATTTCTGGTTGTGCACAATATTGTTCTCCTCCTTATAAAGAAAAATGAAATGGTTATAATGACTGACGTGCATGTTATATTTAACCTACATAACTAATCAGTAAATATTCCAGCACTACACCTACCATTAAATGTAAATATATCTTTGAAGAGCAGCTACCACTAAAGTGCAATCACGAAACACATCAATAATAGTTAACAACAAAACAGTGCAGCGCTCCTCCAAGTCCCTGAATGACATCAATATAATGTACTCCCCAAAATCAATCATTGTGCTAAGCCATACAATCCATCTCAAAAACATTTATTTAAAATGTGCATTTATAAAAGCATAAATATCTTGTGGACACAACAAAAATAAACTCATGTGCCCATACACTGTATAGAAAAAACATCGAACAAAAGTCCCAATAATAATCACGAATCACCATGAACACTTTAAAACAGCAGTGTATTAAAAAAAAACTCAGTGAATGAACAGTGTTGTGATTCCATCCACATCAAAATGTAACACGCCAGGTCACCCACTCTTATATTGGGTCCTCCTGCTAAAGCCACTTGAGAGTTTATACAATTATACGGGAACATAAAAAGACACCATAGTGCTCACTGATTGTTTACTAAAACACATCTTAAAATATTCCACTCACATTTATACAGTCATGGCCAAAAATACTGGCATCCCTGCATTTCTGTCAGATAACGCACCACTTCATCCAGAAAATTGTTGCAATTACAAATGTTTAGGCATTCTCATGTATATTTGTTTTGTTTGTATCGGTATGACAAACATGTAGAAAAAAACAAAAAGCCAAATGCAGGGGTGCCAATATTTTTGGCCATGACTGTATATGTAAACACATGCTTTTTACAATGTAATATGGAGCCCTTAATAGTTACAAGGTTGAAGCACTCCCTGTTATTGCCACTGGATGAAGTCAATAGATCACACCCAATACAAAAGAGACCTGGGGAACCTGTTTTTTAAAGCTGTATCTGACCTCCTGTTTAATATTGAGGTCTACCAAAATAGGTGAGGGCACATCTAACAGTGCATCTGGGTAACGGAGTGTTTTACATTTGATGTGGATGGAATCACAGCACTGTTCATTCATAGAGTTTTTTTGGAATACACTGCTGTTTCACAGCGTTCCTGCATTATTCACAATGAAAAAATTGGAATTTTTGATGGACTTTTTTTTTTTTTTTTTTTACACACTGTATGGGCACATGAGCTGATTTATGTTGTGTCCACACAATATTTATGCTCGTCTAAAACACACATTTTAAATGCATGTTTTATGTTTCTTTTAAAATGCATGTTTTGACATGTACTATATGATTTAGCACAATGTTTGGTTTTGGGGAGTACTTTATATCAGTGTTTCTCAACCTTTTTTCCTTCAAGCACCCTTTCAAATTATGGACAATGTCAAGGCACCCTCTAAAATTATGGGCAGTCTTATGGCACCCCTTAAGATTATGGACAGTCTTGAGGCACCTCATTCTTAAATGTAAAAAACTATTCTAATAGCTTTATATAACAGCAACATCCACACATGTAGGACACCCAACATTAGAGTTGATTTATTCTTCCAAATCAAATACATATTTGCACACACTGACTAGTATGCCACTGTTTCTCTTCTTCCTCAGTTTTTCTCCATCACTGAGCTAATGTGACCCCAGCACAGATGGAGAGGGGCAGAGGAGAGTCAAACAAGCATGCTGTGCAGGCAGCTGACATCCTTGCTATCAACTGATGACGTCATTGGTTGTCAGGACGCTGGTGGCTAAAAGGTTGTAATGGTGCACAATGTGTAACTAAAAGGCACCCGCTGGCTTGTATACAAGTTTTGGGCAACTTTTAGACATTTTACCAAGGCACCCCAGAATAAACCACAAGGCACCCTGGTTGAGAAAGGCTGATTTATATTATTATTTATATTATACGGATTTGGTTTAAGCACATAGAGGAGTGTTGCACTATTTTGTTGTTTATATACTACATAACTAGTTTGACTCCTGCTTCTGAGATAGATATGAGAACATTACCAATAAGAAATTGCAACTTAATTATTTATTATTTGAGAGACTTCTAAAAATAAAAATTGTATTTTTATAAAATATTGTTTTAATGATACATGACTTATTTTTATAAAAACCTGTACATAAAACGATACATTCTTTTATCATCTTATGAAATACATATATAAAAATATACATATACACTACATTGCCAAAAGTATTGGGACGCACATGAATTTTAATGGCATCCCAGTCTTAGTCTGAGGGGTTCCATATTGAGTTGGCCACCCTTTGCAGCTGTAACAGCTTCAACTCTTCTGGGAAGGCTGTCCACAAGGTTTAGGAATGTGTCTATGAGAATGTTTGACCATTCTTCTAGAAGCACATTTGTGAGATGTCTGACAAGAAGGCCTGGCTCGCAGTCTCCGCTTTAATTCATCCCAAAGGTGTTCTATCGGGCTGAGGTCAGGACTCTGTGCAGGCCAGTCAAGTTCCTCCAACCCAAACTCGCTCATCCATGTCTTTATGGACCTTGCTTTTGCACTGGTGTGCAGTCATGTTGGAACATGAAGGGGTCATTCCCAAACTGTTCCACAAAGTTGGGGGCATGAAATTGTCCAAAAAGTCTTGGTATACTGATGCCTTAAGGAGTTCCTTCACTGGAACAAAGGGGCCAAGCCCAACTCTTGAAAAACAACCCTACACCATAATCTCCCCTTCTCCAAACTTTACCCTTAGCACAATGCAGTCAGGCAAGTACCATTATACTGGCAAACGCCAAACCCAGACATGTCCATTGGATTGCCAGACACAGAAGCAGGAGTTATCACTCCAGAGAACACGTCTCCACTGCTCTACAGTCCAGTGGCAGTGTGCTTTACACCACTGCATCTGATACTTTGCATTGCACTTGGTGATGTAAGGCTTGGAAGCAGCTGCTCGGCCACGGAAAACCATTCAATGAAGCTCTTCACACACTAATCTATGGGTTGTGCCAATTTGAAGGCCACACGAAGTTTAGATGTCTTTAGCTATCGACTCTGCAGTTAGCAACTTCTGCGCACTTCAGCATGCGCTGATCCCGCTCTGTCATTTTATGTGGCCTACCACTTCATGGTTGAGGCTTGGAGTTTCGCACACATCGGAATTCCACCAAATATTTCTGTTCTTAGCCTTCCACACCCATGTGCAGAAGCTTTTGATATTATTTCACACTTGATTTTATACACCTGTGCCCATGCAGATGATTTGAACACCTAAATATAATGATCTGGAGGGGTGTCCCAATACATTTGGCAATATAGTGTATATCTTTTGTAACCTTGCATTCAACCCACCCATCACAGTCATGGTTCTAGGACATGCCAAATGTTTAATAGGCCATCTGGGATTGGAATTAACTAAAAAAAACATATGCCTAATCTCAGCAACCTCCAAACCTGATTAACAACTCAAATTAGGAGGTAGGAAGATAGGAGCTATGTACAGTCAGGTCCATAAATATTGGGACATCGACACAATTCTAACATTTTTGGCTCTATACACCACCACAATGGATTTGAAATGAAACAAACAAGATATGCTTTAACGGCAGACTGTCAGCTTTAATTTGAGGGTATTTACATCCAAATCAGGTGAACGGTGTAGGAATTACAACAGTTTGCATATGTGCCTCCCACTTGTTAAGGGACCAAAAGTAATGGGACAGAATAATCATCATAAATCAAACTTTCACTTTTTAATACTTGGTTGCAAATCCTTTGCAGTCAATTACAGCCTGAAGTCTGGAACGCATAGACATCACCAGACGCTGGGTTTCATCCCTGGTGACGCTCTGCCAGGCCTCCACTGCAACTGTCTTCAGTTCCTGCTTGTTCTTGGGGCATTTTCTCTTCAGTTTTGTCTTCAGCAAGTGAAATGCATGCTCAATCGGATTCAGGTCAGGTGATTGACTTGGCCATTGCATAACATTCCACTTCTTTCCCTTAAAAAACTCTTTGGTTGCTTTTGCAGTATGCTTTGGGTCATTGTCCATCTGCACTGTGAAGCGGCGTCCAATGAGTTCTGAAGCATTTGGCTGAATATGAGCAGATAATATTGCCCGAAACACTTCAGAATATATCCTGCCTGTTTTGTCAGCAGTCACATCATCAATAAATACAAGAGAACCAGTTCCATTGGCAACCATACATGCCCACGCCATGACACTACCACCACGCTTCACTGATGAGGTGGTATGCTTAGGATCATGAGGAGTTCCTTTCCTTCTCCATACTCTTCTCTTCCCATCACTCTGGTACAAGTTGATCTTGGTCTCATCTGTCCATAGGATGTTGTTCCAGAACTGTGAAGGCTTTTTTAGATGTCGTTTGGCAAACTCTAATCTGGCCTTCCTGTTTTTGAGGCTCACCAATGGTTTACATCTTGTGGTGAACCCTCTGTATTCACTCTGGTGAAGTCTTCTCTTGATTGTTGACTTTGACACACATACAACTACCTCCTGGAGAGTGTTCTTGATCTGGCTAACTGTTGTGAAGGGTGTTTTCTTCACCAGGGAAAGAATTCAGTTGTTTTCCGTGGTCTTCCGGGGTCTTTTGGTGTTGCTGAGCTCACCGGTGAGTTCCTTCTTTTTAAGGATGTTCCAAACAGTTGTTTTGGCCACGCCTAATATTTTTGCTATCTCTCTGATGGGTTTGTTTTGTTTTTTCAGCCTAATGATGGCTTGCTTCACTGATAGTGACAGCTCTTTGGATCTCATCTTGAGAGTTGACAGCAACAGATTCCAAATGCAAATAGCACACTTGAAATGAACTCTGGACCTTTTATCTGCTCATTGTAATTGGGATAATGAGGGAATAACACACACCTGGCCATAGAACAGCTGAGAAGCCAATTGTCCCATTACTTTTGGTCCCTTAACAAGTGGGAGGCACATATGCAAACTGTTGTAATTCATACACCGTTCACCTGATTTGGATGTAAATACCCTCAAATTAAAGCTGACAGTCTGCAGTTAAAGCACATATTGTTCATTTCATTTCAAATCCATTGTGGTGGTGTATAGAGCCAAAAATGATAGACTTGTGTCGATGTCCCAATATTTATGGACCTGACTGTAACTAGCTAAACAAATATTTCCATGCCCCAATGTATCTTTGTTTCCTTATCCATATCTCATTTTTTGTTGGTATAATTAAAATGCGATGGGAGAAATATGCTAAAATTTGTGCACTCAAACTTTTGTGCAGCTGTGCATGGTAGTCTAGATTTCTAGACTCTAGAAAACACCCACATGTACCTACCTTTCTAGAGCATGCCCCAGTAATATACACTGCTCAAAAAAAAAATTAAAGGAACAATTTTTAATCAGAGTATAGCATCAACTCAAACTCCTGGGATATTGATCTGAACAGGATGAGAACTGACAGAGCCCTACAAAATGACCTCCAGCAGGCCACTGGTGTGAATGTCTCTGACCAAACAATCAGAAACAGACTTCATGAGGGTGGCCTGAGGGTTCGACATCCTCTTGTGAGCCCTGTGCTCACTGCCCAGCACTATATAGCTAAATTGGCATTTGCCATTGAACAGCAGGATTGGCAGGTCCACCACTGGTGCCCTGTGCTTTTCGAAGATGAGAGCAGGTTCACCCTGAGCATGTGACAGATGTGAAAGGGTTTGGAGAAGCAGTTTAGAATGTTATGCTGCCTGTAATATCGTTCAGCATGACCATTCTGGTGGTGGGTCAGTGATGGTCTGGGGAGGCATATCCATGGAGGGACGCACAGACCTCTGCAGGCTAGACAAAGAGCTCAGTGACGCCCTGGTCTAGATCTGGGAGGAAATACCCCAGGACAACATCCGTCGTCTCATTAGGAGCATGCCCCGACGTAGCCAGGCATGCATTCCATCATGTGGGGACCATACAAACTACTGAGTACCATTCTGAGCTTTTGCAATGCAATTTCAGCAAAATGGACTAGCCTGCTGCATCATTTTTTTTACTTTGATTTTCGGGGTGTCTTTGAATTCAGTCCTGTGTAGCTTGATAATTTTCATTTCCATCAAACTATGGGGCATCCTTGCGTTCCTAACACATTACCCAGTCCATATCAGTATAGATATCCAGCATATTTTTCCCCATTGAGATCTGATGCATTTTCAAAGTGTTCCTTTAATTTTTTTGAGCAGTCTATTTTTCCTTTTACCATGTTCCTGCAATGAGCAACTGCTTTCACTACTCCCGTGACATCATCACCAGGCTTGTACAATTCCTGCAGGGGCAGTAATTGTAAGATAAGTTGCTATAGACGTAGGCACTACCCCAGGATTACATCTCCCAAAAGCCTTTTTCGAGGTAAACTCATGTGGAAATGTACAAGTGTTGCAGCGATGTACTGAATGTGTGTCCTTCCATTTTGTCCTGACACATAATGTAACTTGCACTTGTGTAAGGTTCACAGAATTTTTATCAAAATGTATAATACAATGCCTGACAAAGAAATTTTGATTTTTGTGCTCACTGCAAAATCCTATTCTGTAGTTGATAGGACACAGAAGTCCTAAACCCTCAGGTTATACTGCCATCAATGCTGCAGAGAGAAATCTCTAAACGTTTTAAGATGTTGGTCGGGAGACAAGTTTTCCAAAACTCCTCCCTAGCCAGACAGAACGGCTTTAATCAAGGGGATCCTCCAAAAGTCAGGAAGGAAGAACTTCCAACCCCAAAACTGAATTCCTGAGCCACCAAGCCAAGAATAACTTGGTCGTCAGTGACAAACTAATCCATCTTTCCAGAGACCAGACTGACTTGTCCCACAACAACAAAATGCTGGATTACAGAGCTCTAGAGAGAAACTGGGCAAATGGAAGTGCCTCGAAGGGACCATCAGGCCTAGGGTTCCCATGCAAAAGTGCCGATGATTCCTGGACTACACAGTTCGAATCAGAGACTGGAGAGACAGAAGATTCTTTTGTGAAAGGGACACTTTGGCTTGAACGGTGTTCAGGACTACTCCAAACAATACCTGTTACAGTAAATTTCTGAAGGTTCAGAACCCGTCTGGACAGTTAAAGGCATGTCTGTCAGTGCCTGAGATGACTGTTCCCTCAGCAGAAAGTCTACATATTTCACAATAGAGATGCCATGAGAGAAAAGCAGAGATAATACTGGGACAAGCACCTTGGTGAATAACCAAGATTCAGAAGAGAGGCCAAGGAAGGGGGCACAAATTAGTAGTGCAAGGGTCCTACAACAAAGCATAGGAAGCACTGAAATTGGGAGACGAAGATAAGCATCTTTGATGTATGCAAAAGCTAAAAAGTCTCCCTGGGGAAGGGAGGTGATGACAAATTTTGTGAATTCCATGCAGAGTTTTGGAACCTAAATGCAAATATTCAAAAATCTGAGCTCCAAGATGAGGCGAATGCCCCTTTTGGTTTTGGAATGGTAAACAGGTTGGAGCCACGACCCTGAATCTGCTTTGCTGGAGGAAATGGGGAAAGGACACCTTGATCCTGAAGACCCAAGAGGCCTTGATCAATATCTGATAATCTGTACAAAAGCCCCCCTACTCTGGAAAGTGGGGACCCACCTATATTTCATGGAAGGGTTGTCTGAGGATTGTGCCAAACCTTGCGGGTGGACTAGAAGCAAGAGGTTTCTGTGCCATGATGTAGAGGTCGAGGCAGTGGAGAAACAAAATGGGCACTTCTTAACTAAAAGAGGGAGAAGACTTTGCAGTGTGCCCCTTAGGCTTATTTTTTTGAGGAATATGGAACTACCAGGAGCATGTTTGATACTATTATTAAGATATGCTCCATAGAGACATTTTCTCTTGAAGGGATCAAGTGCTTCATGCACAAAGATTCTGCAGTCCAGCACTTAAGCCAAAGTGCCTACACATACCAAAACGACACAGACACACACCAGACAAGAGGCTTCCAGCAAACCAGAGCTGAAGTTTAACACTACAGCCAGGCTGTTCAATAGATTTATTAAAGAAGAAATCGACAACAGTACTTACATTTCTTTTAAGGGATTTTGAACAATCATACCATGAAGTCCTAGTCAAGATCAGGTGCAACAGGGTACACTTTAGAGCAGCACTCTAGAAAAGGCTTTTAGCCACTTTTTGGTTGCGTCCTTGAACACCAGCACATCCACTACTGAAACTGTAAACATCTTGTTAAGGCGGGACATGGACAGCTTCACAGTGGGAATGAATCACTTTGGTACAAAATCCCTACTAAACAGATTCAAGGCTTAAAAAGTGCTTGGGAGAAGCTAATACCATTAAATAAAAACAATAAAAATATTAGGATGCTTTAGATCTCCATAGAAAAATAGATAGAATTTGGTAGATTAACCCACAATATATCTTGGTATAATATTTCAGGTATTGGATCTACTGGATGCTTTATGACGCAATTTATTTGCAAATATCTGGTTTACTCAATCTAAGTCTAGTAATGTTTACTTTTGTATATATGGGTGTTACTTATTGGTGTGTCCATGTAAATGTTTATTGAACTGCATGCATGTTATTTCCACCACTGATATTCTCTTTTCAGCCATTGTGTGGCTTTTATTATTAAACGCTAATAAAAACTACAATGGTATTAAGAAAAAAAAAATAAGATGGAAAAGCAAATGCAAATGAAACTTCACCCAAGGCCTGAAGACAGCACTGGCAGAAGCAACAGGCTGATCCTCTAACTACAGAGTGACATTGTATCAATAAGAGTCAAAATGGACTCTTTTACAGCTAATGCTCCCAAATTAGACTGCAACTGCTCAGGTGTAAGCTAATCAGGAGTGGAACAACTTATAATCTGATAGAGCTTCTGCAACCAATTGCTTGGAAGTCACTATAGCCATAGACAAATCTAGAATCTGCAGGGGAGGTTGTGGGAGCTCCATAAAGCTTTGCATGACCCTTGTAAAGGCTGTGCATGACAGGGAAGAAGAGAATGCAGGGATTAAACTGAAAAGGAGTGCAAGGATGGGATAGACTCCAAGTGCAGAGGGCAAAACAACTCCAGGTTGCAGACGTTGGTATCGTCAGTGGGCATGCTGCAAGGAGCCCTCCCGTTAGTAGAAAGTGAGCCCTATACAGCGGAACTGTACACCAGATCTAGAATCAGACAACATGTTGTGACCGGATGGCAGTATGGCAATGCATAGGCTTCATGCAAGAGGCAAGGCCTCAGGTACATGCAAAACCAGGATTGCATATAGCAGGTCAGGGATGGATGACCAGAAATGACCAAATCACTATAGGCGGTCAGCAGGAAGAGAGTACAACGGAGTCCAAATAGGTGCAAGTTGGTGGGAAACACCAGCAGTAGTGTAGAGAAGAGCCTTGACTGAAGAAAAAAATGCTAGAAATATCACAGGTTAGTCTTTAAAACAACAGGATTTGAAAAGGTGTCCATCCTATCTTCACAGACAAGACAAGCAACAACGCAATCCCAGTGGCTCTGGAAATTGCGTAGAAAGCACTCAGCAGTAAACCTGTACTAGAAGTTATTCTGAAAAATGTCCCACGTGGAACCCAATGCCTAAAGGTCGCTTCCAGCTATTCCTGCAATATCCAATCCAGTGGGGTCTGGATATGGTACTCAAAAAGCCAAGCTGAGGATAACCATGCCGGATAGCTGCCATCAAAGCTCCAGCAGCAACAGAATGTTTTTTTTATCCAAGAACAAAAATCAGAGGGAAAAAAAGTGCTACAAAATATACTATGTTACTAGCAGAAAAAGTCAGTCTTTGTTTGCCAGTGTCCAGTCCTCCTTTACGCAGCAGTATAGCCTTAAAGTTTAAGACTCTATACCTCAAACAGAAGAAAAAAATATTTTTTTAAAGTTACAAATAAAATATATTCAGTTAGACACAGAAATCCGACATTTTAAATTTCTTGTAGCTAAACTAACAATACCCGAAGTACTTACCCCCATGGGTATAGGGCTAGTAATTCTTTCAAGGTGCCCATGACTGATTGGTGAGTAAGGAGGTAAAGGTGCTGGAGAGAATGGATCCCCCTCAGAGAGGGGGATATGAGGAGACCCCGGAGGTCGACCTTGAACTGTAAGGGCTACATATGAGCCAGCTGAAACAAGAAAATAAAAACAAACAATCTTCATAAACAACACAAAACTACTACTTTTTCAAGTCAAGGTGATAACAGCTGCTCAATATTATGTATAATTATATTGGAAGTTAGAATAAAAAGTAGCAGTGAAATGCTATCAAATTCATGTACAGTCAGGTCCATAAATATTGGGACATCGACACAATTCTAACATTTTTGGCTCTATACACCACCACAATGGATTTGAAATGAAACAAACAAGATGTGCTTTAACTGCAGACTGTCAGCTTTAATTTGACGGTATTGACATCCAATTCAGGTGAACGGTGTAGGAATTACAACAGTTTACATATGTGCCTCCCACTTGTTAAGAGACCAAAAGTAATGGGACAGAATAATAATCATAAATCAAACTTTCACTTTTTAATACTTGGTTGCAAATCCTTTGCAGTCAATTACAGCCTGAAGTCTGGAACGCATAGACATCACCAGACGCTGGGTTTCATCCCTGGTGATGCTCTGCCAGGCCTCTACTGCAACTGTCTTCAGTTCCTGCTTGTTCTTGGGGCATTTTCCCTTCAGTTTTGTCTTCAGCAAGTGAAATGCATGCTCAATCGGATTCAGGTCAGGTGATTGATTTGGCCATTGCATAACATTCCACTTCTTTCCCTTAAAAAACTCTTTGGTTGCTTTTGCAGTATGCTTTGGGTCATTGTCCATCTGCACTGTGAAGCGGCGTCCAATGAGTTCTGAAGCATTTGGCTGAATATGAGCAGATAATATTGCCCGAAACACTTCAGAATTCATCCTGCTGCTTTTGTCAGCAGTCACATCATCAATAAATACAAGAGAACCAGTTCCATTGCCAGCCATACATGCCCACGCCATGACACTACCACCACCATGCTTCACTGATGAGGTGGTATGCTTAGGATCATGAGCAGTTCCTTTCCTTCTCCATACTCTCTCTTCCCATCACTCTGGTACAAGTTGATCTTGGTCTCATCTGTCCATAGGATGTTGTTCCAGAACTGTGAAGGCTTTTTTAGATGTCGTTTGGCAAACTCTAATCTGGCCTTCCTGTTTTTGAGGCTCACCACTGGTTTACATCTTGTGGTGAACCCTCTGTATTCACTCTGGTGAAGTCTCCTCTTGATTGTTGACTTTGACACACATACACCTACCTCCTGGAGAGTGTTCTTGATCTGGCCAACTGTTGTGAAGGGTGTTTTCTTCACCAGGGAAAGAATTCTTCGGTCATCCACCACAGTTGTTTTCTGTGGTCTTCCGGGTCTTTTGGTGTTGCTGAGCTCACCAGTGCGTTCCTTCTTTTTAAGAATGTTCCAAACTGTTGTTTTGGCCACGCCAAATGTTTTTTGCTATCTCTCTGATGGGTTTATTTTGTTTTTTCAGCCTAATGATGGCTTGCTTCACTGATAGTGACAGCTATTTGGATCTCATCTTGAGAGTTGACAGCAACAGATTCCAAATGCAAATAGCACACATGAAATGAACTCTGGACCTTTTATCTGCTCATTGTAATTGGGATAATGAGGGAATAACACATACCTGGCCATGGAACAGCTGAGAAGCCAATTGTCCCATTACTTTTGGTCCCTTACCAAGTGGGACGCACATATGTAAACTGTTGTAATTTCTACACCGTTCACCTGATTTGGATGTAAATACCCTCAAATTAAAGCTGACAGTCTGCAGTTAAAGCACATCTTGTTCGTTTCATTTCAGATCCATTGTGGTGGTGTATAGAGCCAAAAATGTTAGAATTGTGTCGATGTCCCAATATTTATGGACCTGACTGTATATACCATTGCAATTTCTTGATTGTGTTCTGCAGAAAGTTACAGCTTCCAGATGTTATCCCCACAATTGACTGTAACTTTCTGATTGTCTATAGGGAAGGTTCAATGCTGGATGGAACTGCACTGTTTGTAACAGAGGATTTTTGTCTGGAGTTCTCAGTAGTAAAATATTGTCTGCTTTAAGCTTTATTTCCTGCTATAGGCTCAAAGATGTATAGAAAGGTAGTATAAGTAGTACATAGCCATCCACTAAGCAGAGGGAAAACCGCTTCTCTCTTCTAAATGTATGACTCCCACCCCCATGAAATATTTGTTCTCTACTTTGCAATTACACTTTTTTTGTAGCAAATCTAAATACAAAAAAGGACAATAATCACTATTGTAGACACCCCTGTCAAACTTCTGAAAATGCTAGTTCCTAAGTTGTCATGCTGATCCTTTGGCTAGAATACTGTCCTAATCATGGTCAGAAAACAGGGATGCCGTTTAGGTGTTATGAAGTCACTTGCTGCACATGTGTTCGAAGACAGTGGTTGAAGCATGTACTGAAGCCAAGGTGTAGCATGATGGCTAGGCAACTTAGGTTTTTAGAAGGACCAGCCCAAAAATACTGATATAGTTATGGGTGGTATGTGAAAAGCAGAATAAACTTATATCACTTGGGAATACAAATAACAAGGTGCTTGTCTCTTGTTTCCCATTAACAGACAAACTAAAACAAATAAAGAGCAAATTGTTAAAGCTGGTTAAGGAGGAACTGTAGTCCTGCCCCTCCTCCTGGAATCCCCATCTTTACCTTTCTTGTGATTCCACACATGTGCGATCTTGCCACTGGTTCCTGCAGGTTATCCTGCAGAGGGTGCCCAATATTTTTTTAAAAACATGAATGGAGAAACAGTGGGTGGGGACTAGCAACTTGTAAGGAACAGATGCTAAATGCTGTTAAAAGCCCAAGAACCCCAAAATCTTTAGGAGAAGGGTCTCAGACAGGCAGATGCCTTAGAAAAATGTGAAATCAACTGCAGAAGTTAAGTGTGAGCATCAGCATTTAGGCATATGGCTCAAAGAATTTTAAATAAGAGACTTGTAGGAAATGGTCCCCCCTAGGCACCCTGGGAATGTGAATATGAATGTTTAGGACGAGTTTAAGGGTCTAATAAATTAGCACCTCAATGAGGAGTGCATTGGTGTGAATAGATATGAAGTATAACCCATCATGTTGTGTTTGCCATTAAAAGGTATAATATCCCTCACATGAGAGATATAGTGGCAAGTGTACAGGAGACAAAGAAGAATCCTAGCTACTGCAGTAAACATAGTGGCAGATCTACAGGCGATAGCGCAGGAGCCCAGCTACTGCAGTAATTAAGAAATGTTTTTGAGACATGATGGGACATGCATCCCTAAACAGATAGGGGTCCCTGTGTAGGATTTAGAAAGTACTAATAATTCTTCTCAAACAGGGAAAGAGATAATAACCATACCAAGAATAAGTAGAGTCTATGTGTATCGACACTGACAAACATACACGAAAATAAAAAAACTGTTGACTGATACAGAGTACGTATACCTTATGTTACTATGGGTATAAAATTGCTACAAAAAAGCTGTCAATGGTCCATATATTTCTTTATCCAAAAAGGGAAATCCAAATGTGTACCACAAATCAACACTGGGAAAAATTCTGTATTACCCATAGCAATGTTAAACCCGGAATGGCCAACCATAGTTCCCAGAGCTTGGTCAATTTGTTCATGGTATCTCTATGTTGAAAGAAAGGTGCTCTTTAGCTAATAGCACACCAATCGGGAACAATCCGCACGTTTCCGTATATTACTGTCTATGTAGTGTAAAAACTGTGGGAGGAGTTAGGGTGGTAAATTTGGCTATAATAATAAGAATATATGTGAGATAACAGTAAGTGTTTTTGCCATGCAAGAACACTTAACTTTGAGTTTACAGGCAGTAAACAGGAACCTGGAAATAGGCAGCCTAAACTCAGGCAAATACACTTCCTCATCCAGATTCCCTAAAATACAAATTAACGGGTCAGAGGCAGTCTGGATCTGGGAACACTCTTAATAGTATCAACTACTGCTTGCCAATTTTTAAATTAGTATCATTATTATTATTATACAGGATATATATAGAGCCAACAGTTTGTGCAGCAACAGTGAGTCCCAGCAACAGGGGAAATCTTAACCCATCACCACTGAAAAAGTTTCTGTGGGCTTCAATATACCCTATGTATTATGAAAAAAACTGAGACAATCCCTGCATGGAGAAAGACACCAGTAATACTTGTTCTAGAATTTGCTTCAAGGTCTCAACTGTTGGCAGCTAGGAAATGGAGCCTGGCACATGTATTCTAATGTGAATCTTTGCATGCTTTTTGTATTTCTTCCAGATCTGTACAGTAATCCAGCATGAAACTTTGCCTTTGTGCAGAAGGTTTCTGTAATAAGGACCAAACAAATGCTGATTTCTTTCATTGTGCAGGGTGACTGGTCTTGCATCATTACCAGCCCTCCCCGTGGTTTTTGCATCTGAATATATATTTAAAATGCAAGTTTTGGTGCCCAGAGTTCCAATTGAAGAACTGCCTCCTTTGGTTCCCTACGTACAGCATATTAATCTCTTTTTTTAGTAAGAATAAGGTTCTGCGTGATCAAGAAAAATAAAGTATATGTTTCACTAATTGTTAATATTAAATGATTATATGCGAATGTTAGTATAATAATAGGTCCGCATGCTACAATGACTTTGCAGAGAATAATAGAAGAACAATGGAATGCGTTGTTAGAACATCCTTGAAAGGTTTTTCTGTTAGTTATAGACATACAATCAGTCTCGTAATATTGTACAGCAAGCCAGGGTTTGACAAATTTGCTTGGAATCTAGAGCTAGCTAAAAAAGCTAGGAGCTAGTTTTATTTTTTAACAAAAAAAAAATGTAATTAATTTGGGGGTTGGGCAGCTGTCTCAATTGCAGTGCTGCTGGCTGGGACTGCTCTCTCACTGGGTATTTTCAGAGGATGCGTGTCTCTTTGGGGCTCTTTGGGTGTGGAGATTTAACACTTGAGGTTGTTGGGGCTGGAGTTTTTGGTGTGTGGCACACTGTGTGGGCTGGACTCGGTTCGCCTCCCTGTTTGATTACGGCGCTGCGCGGGGGCTGGTGGGGAGTGGGTGGGCCATGGTG